GTGTAACTAACTCAATAGATTGAGCATTTTGTTGAGCTAAGGAAGGTCATCATCTTTTAAGTAAAGAAGCCCCCTTCTCGCTGGCTTCTCCTTCATCGTTGATCACCATGGTGTCTATGGCCGGCTCGGGTGCAGGCTCATCACCACAACTTTCGGAGATGACTCAGGTGAGGCACTCCTTTCCTTTTTATTTTTTCCCCCAGCCGCGGAGAAACGTCTTCATTTTGGTTGCTTGTTCTCTAGCTGGAGACTTTGAGAAGAAGCACTTGCACCAGAAGCAGACCCGGATACACCTGTTCGTGTAAAAGCCTCATGAAGCAGCCTCGCCACGTCAGGAAGATTAGCCAAAACGTCCTACTTGGGGACGACAACTGAGCCCTGGGGTAGGCTTGAATTCAATAGGAGAGAAAAGTTAATCAAATTCCTTATATGAAAAGTAAAAACAAGATGAGTTCAATTTACCATAATTTTTGGCCTTCCACCTGTATTTAAGGGCCAGCTCTTTCTATGTGCAGGTCTCGGGCGTAGTAACATCTAAAATTTTCTGGAGCCACTGATCCAAACCTTCAACCCTAGGTGGTACCTTCCGAGTTACTGAAATAAGTGAAAGAAGAAGGGTCAATAACGATATGAGATGATCTTTAATAGAAGAAAAGACAAATGGTGAACTTACGAGTGTGGTTCCGTAATTCAGGAAAGGATGAAGTAGTGGACGGAATGATGTCACTGGTGGCAGCTACAACGGACCGTTCCAGCCACCCACAATCGTTGTCATCATCCATGCTGGGTAGTAGAGCACGGTGGTCATGCTTGTTGAAATTTGTCATTCCCCCACGGAAAATCATGGGGGAATAAAGATTCATTAATCGAGTTAGGGTTAACTCCTCTTTCGTCTCATGGCACAGACGCCGAAGACAAGTGACTGTCCTCCACACAGAAGGACTTACTTGTACCAGGCATACCTGGTAGCGGATGCAGAACTCCATTATGACGGAGTCAAGCTCTCTACTCAAAGAGAACAACCCCAAAGTGAAGGGGTACGTATAAAAATACGTAAAACCCTTCTTGGGTAAGGCTATCCGTTCTGCCAGATCAGGAGCGATAATATCTAAATCTTTACAATGGCAGTCTTCCTTCACAGCAGAAATACTGGAAGGACGGATGGAAGAAGGGTATACGCTAATGGCCCACGTAAAAGGGTGAGCGGAAGGATACTTCTCTTCAAAGTCCTTAGTTGTGACAAGACTCTTTGAGATGATGGTGCTCACCGTAGGAGGAGAAGAATCATTAGCTTTACCTTTGTTCTTTGAAGAACTAGGGTCTTTAGAAGAAGAAGAAATTTTTATCAGAAAGTAATGGAGAGTTTCTCTAAAGATGAAGGCTAAATAAAAAATGAAGACAAAGTGCGATTTGAGTAAAGAGAGTTTGCAGAATTAGGAAGTGTAAATAAAATAGTTTGATGCGTATAAGTAAAGGAGTAGACGACTAAAATCGTGGCCATAATTACCTCGATGATCGGCAAAAGTGATGCTAAATCATGGGGTGTCACATGTTTGGGGCAGTAAATACGGAGAGACGTGCGTCTAATCAACCGTCAGAAACTTTTCAAAGGTGGTCAGAGAATTTTCTGCCAAAAATGGTATCTCTACCAACATTCCGGTGACACAAAGTTATGCCACCTGAAAGCAGGGAGACTATTTGTATGGAGTAAAATATGTTCATATTTAATGATCGCATGAACAAGTGACACGTGGAGCCGAAGGTAGAAGATAATTGAACTCGGAGGTAATGATCTTGTTTGTCATCGGAGAGAATGATATTCATAAAGACAAAACAAATGCCTGACATCCGGTAGCATTTAATGAAGAATATTCTACAACATTAAGTGCATGATCCGTTATAGAGAATATAGCATTCACTGCCCACTGTTACACATTCTTTAATGGCCATCATAATTGTCATTTAAGAGGGGCTTGATCCTAGAACCTTGTTTCTTAGGTGTAGCTATAAATAGTAAGCTCTACCATCATTATAAGACACACAAATTTTCTGGTAAACATACACTATATTCTATTAAAATCTCAAATAAGATTTTACTTTCTTGCTTATTTATACTATTCTTATTGCCTCCGGTAGCTTTGTGCCCAGGACTAAGATATATGCCGTTTATTTCAATTTCAAGTCTAAGTCTTATATTTTTATCTAATTTATCTATTATTTTTGGAACAAATCAATTCACTTGTCTATAAAGCATGTATAAATTTAACTGTACTATTTTACGGGTAAATAACACTGTTTGTGGATAAATTTTTATTCCTGCACAATGAACTCAAATGAGTTGGTATCGTTGAGGTTGTATTATGTTAATTCCCTTTTGGAGTAAATAAGCCATATCTTTTTTTTCCTTCCCAAACCATCTTTCGATTTGTTTATGTTACTCTTGCACATGTATCATAGTAACGTTTTAGGACATTTGCATCTATACCCATTTTTTGTGTCACGTTTTAACTTTTGTCACTTTGCAAAAAAAATTGCAAGCGTACCCGCTTTTTCGCATAACTTCAGCATACGGGCCTGAAGTAGCAAAGACAATCACGAAAAACTTAAACATTCTATTAGTCGGGCCTGATGTTCAGCCCCAGAGTTGAAGTTTTTGTTTTGTAACTGTCGAACTTCAGCTCTAGAGCTGAAGTTTTTGTTTGTAACTGGCGAACTTCAGCTCCAGAGCTGAAGTTTTTGTTTGTAAGCTTCAGCTCTAGAGCTGAAGTTTTTGTTTTATAACTGTCGAACTTCAACTCTAGAGTTGAAGTTTTCGTTTGTAACTGGCAAGTTTTTGTTTGTAAGCTTCAGCTCTAGAGCTGAAGTTTTTATTTTGTAACTGCCAAACTTCAGCTCTAGAGCTGAAGTTTTTGTTTGTAAGCTTCAGTTCTAGAGTTGAAGTTTTTGTTTTATAACTGGGAAACTTCAGCTCTAGAGCTGAAGTTTTTGTCTTTGTAACTGGGGAACTTCAGTTATAGAGCTGAAGTTTTTGTTTGTTTATAATTTCATTTACCACACCATCTTGACCAAATTGAAAGAAAATTAATTAGAGACAGCAGGAGAACACTGCACCACAAACTTGCAAACTGTGTTAGATTCTTTACTTTGCATAGGATCCACGAAACACTGTAAATATCCTCAGAGAAATTAGAGAGTCAGATTCAATCCATTCATTCATTCACTTTTTTGTCCTTATACAGAACTGTACGATTATTTGCCTGAGTAGTTTCATGACTTTTACTGCTGCTACTTACCAGATTATGTAATTACGAGTAGTAATTAATCAAACAAATCACCAAGTCAGTTGTGTGTGTGTATGTCTATATATATATGCATGTCACGTGATAGGAAGTGACGAAGAAAGCAAATTGGTTGTTTCAGATGTATAGGTTGGCATGAAAATTTATAGGACTCACAGGAGAAATAAGAAGAATCAGATAGGGATGAACCTTACTTCTGGAAAAAGAAAAGATAAAACTTTGAGGAGGAGAATGAGGAGGAGAAAGGGGGCTGAAGTTGTTTAAAAAGTGGGTACAAGTTAAAAGTTTAAGAAAAAATGAATATAGGTTAAATGGAGGCGACCAAATAGGACGTCCCGTGCAATTTTTACCAATATTTTCTATATAGTTTTAATTTTATTGAGTGTCCGCAAATAGACAAGCAAATGTCCTTCTAACCTTATCTTTTTTTCCTTTTCTTATTTCATGAATTTATGAACACGTTTATCTCTTTATTGTTTGTCAAAAATAATATTGTTATCTTCATAAAGGTTGAGTAAGATCTGTATACATTATACCCTCCCCAGATCATACTTGATGAGATTATATTGAATATATTGTTGTTGTTATTTTTCTCTTAATTGAACCAAAAAGAGAGGAGAAGTTTAAAAGAAAAAGAATAAAAAAGGAAGGCAATGTTAACCATTTCTAGGTAGAAAGGAAATCTGAATCAATTGAACTTAATCTGTGGAAGTGAATGGATTGGTCATGATTTTGAGTTTTAAATGTTTTATTATCACTACTATTTTGTTGATTTTCCCATCAAGTTAACTATGTAAAACAATATTGAATATCCAATCATGATCATGACCGCTCAATCTCTTCAGTATTCAAATATAAAGTTTTAATTTCTTCTTAATTCACTTCCTCGTTACTCCTTATGTTTTTATAAGTTATGTGACAAAATTACTATTTATGGAGTCAAAAACCTTTTTCTTCGATCATATTTTCTTGTTAATATTTTAAGTTATTGACTATTATAACTTAAGTACTTTTTAATAGTTGCGCAATATGTACTTTAACTGTTATTTTCTAAAAATTAAAGAATCTAAATTCAAATTCACATCTAAAATTAAGTACGTTTGCCCTCCCAAATCTTGCCACATAAAGTAGAACATGAGAGTATTTGTTTTTATATTGTTGGACAAAAAAAAAAGTAAATTCTTTAGCTCTTAAAATAATAAAAAGATCTTGAATCTTTTCTGTCAAGAAAAAGTAAAAAGGAAAGACAGTTCTACAGTGCCACTTGGTAATTAATGGAGTTAAAAGGAAATAGTCTTTTCATGATTTGAAAAAAAAAAAAGAAAAAAGAATTTGAGAAAAAACTCATAAAAATTAACAAATATGGAAAGAACATATCATGGGTAACTGTGATTATACTTCTTAAAATAAATTATTAAAATGCATGTATTTATGGAAATTTATTACTGTAGTCTGCACAAGTGCGCTACCAGTAGTACAATTCTCACACTCTGCACGATCCCCAAGTGAAGAAGAGTCATAATGTAAGAGTAGAATCAATAGCCAAGAAAAAGAAAAGGACCATATATACATATATGTGTGTGTCTTTAATTCTTCATTTTGAAAAAAATAATCTCTCTGACAACAACAGTAAAGGACTAAGCTTTGTAAATTCTTGTGAAATTCCTCTGTTCTTTAATTTGCATGTGATTCTTTAAGAAAATGGGTGACGAGCACTTGGCCATTCTCCCTTGTGATAGAGCTGTTGAACAGGTTTTCAACTTAGTCTCTTCACCCAAATGAGTTTTTCTTTTCTCAGTTTTACACAATTTTCTTCATTGCTTATAATTTCTATTCCTGCATTTATGGATGGTCTGTTAAGTTGTTGTTTGGTGTGTCTATGTGTGTTTCATGGCTTGAGGAATGGAAGATAAAAGCCAATAGCTTTTTCCTTGGACCACATGGGAAGTTTAGTTTTATCAATGTAAACTAAGAAGGAAAAATGAAGAACTTAAAGACCACTTATAATTAATGACAAGTGATATATTTGTTGATTTCTTTAGCATATGCTTTTTAACGGTTTCTGCTTACGTTACCGATGAATTGTCTGTTCTTGTTTTATTTCCGGCTCAAGCCGAGGGGTCTATCGGAAACGGCCTCAAGTCTGCGTACACAGTACTCTCCCCGTACCTTATTTTGTGGGATTTTACTAGGTTGTTGTTGTTGTTGTTATTGTTGTTCTTTAGCATATGCTATTACTTTTTTCTTCAAACTTTTCTATTGCATTGGATCAGAGAAGGGGGAAGGGGAAAAAGATAAAGTGAGAACTGATACAAGACTCCCACCGATACCACTGGACTATAAGCACTGAGTGGTTTTAATTTATATTATTTCACTTTGTTTTCTGGTTCTTATTTATTGGTATGTGTATGCCAACTTACCTTGGGGCACAAATGGAATGGAACGGAATGGATATTGAGGATTCATGTAGATGACTTAAACTTGTTCGGAATTGAAACGAAATAGTAGTAGTTGTTATGGTATATGTTCCTCCTTCTAACACGCCGATTTTGTCCTCACTCTCTTTCGGGAAGACTGCTTATTCCAAAATTTGAGCTTAGCAATACATATATTATGCCTTCTACTGATTACCTTAGACTATTTTTCGCCATTTTATAGCACAGACACTGGTATAGAGGGTTGGTGTACCATACTGCAACGACAAATCCTTTCTGAGAGTTATGGCGAAGGGTTCCAATATATTATGTTTGAATTCCTGTGCCATTGAAGGAAAAATCACAAACTTCATGTTATAATTAAACATCTTGGTTGGCTGTGCAGAACAGGATTGCAGTGTCCAAATTCAGAAATGTAGTAAAGATTTTACCTGTTGTAGGCCCTTAGTTCCTTTTGCCTAAATTTTGATCTTTTCTATGTCTACTTCAATCTCATGTTTGTGTTTACGTTCTTCTTTTTTGATCCTGGTTGTAACTTGAGAGTATTTGAGAATCAATTCTTTTTCTTTTCAGTTCCAATATCGTTAAAAATTTTACTAGCTATAAATTAGCTCACCATTTCAGCGTGCTTTGCTGATTGCCTCATCAGTTTTCCGTCTATCTTCTTGTTCAAACTGCTAGAAGCTCTCTCAGATTCTAAGGAAGATTTTTGAAAAATAATATCTTGCAAATTATAAAAGCAATTGCATTTTTCTTGTGGCATGTTTTGTTGGGGTTATGCTTCTGGTGGTATGATCTTTCAGCTAACAGAAGTATTGTTATGCTCACTTTTTCTTTTCCTATTTTTACTTGACCTTCAAACATTGTCCAGGCAATAACTGCACTGAAGAAGGGCGCACATCTATTGATGTATGGTAGAAGAGGGAAGCCCAAATTTTGCCCTATGAAGTTATCCACGGTAAAGCATTTCATTGAACATGTCTCGTGCTTTTCAACCCTTAAGGAAATTCTCAAAATAAGTAGTGTCATATTTGGAATATGTATCCGTAGAAATAATTGAAAAACTTGGCATTCTCATTGGGAAAATAAAGATACAATCAATGTTCTTGGCGTTTGCCTGTGCGCAGTCCAATTGTATCATCTAATTTCTAGCTCCAAATTAGTTCTCTAACATGGAAGCTGGTACATCCTGTCTGTGTTATTCCTGTCTCTGTTCTATAAGCAGTCTTAACAAATTTAACCTCTTTTTATGAGATTTAACCTTTTCTTTCTCTTCTTTATCTCCCGTTGTTCAGCTAAAGCATAGACTTATTGTGGAGTCTGAATAACTGTGAAACCTCCCGGAAAGGGGAAATTCATAATAAAGTTAATCTGGAAATTTGAGCTTATTCAGTTTTCAAACATGAAGGTTTCTAATGATAGTTATTTGTTTATTACCAATTTACCATCGATCAACCTGAGGTTTTTAAAATTAGCACATGAATACAAAATCAAGCCCCTTTTCAGAAGAAATATTTCAAATCGTTTCTGATCTTTATTTTTTATTTAAGAAATGGTTTCGCTTGCTTGTGGACGGAAGCAGTGAAAGTGGAAATTCTATACCTGTTTTCCCTGATCCTGAATAATATTTTATATGTCCTAAATAATCTTTCCTTTTTCTTTGTCGACAGGACGAAAAGTTTTTGATTTGGTACTCAGGTGAGAAGGAAAACCAACTGAGGTTAAGTGCAGTCACAGATATCATCCGTGGCCAAAACACTGTAAGTAGTGAAGCGTCTTACTTGTAAACTGAACATTCTAATCAAGATCATTAGTTAACATTATATGATTTCCTTCCAGTTGATAAGAATGTCTCATTTTCTTAACTAGGTAATTCAACATAAACAACTTCAGACTGATATGGAAAGTCAGTGCATTTCTTTAATATATGGAAATGACGATCACACTCTTGATCTGGTAAGTTATTCAGTAGTCTCAAAGTTAATTGAAGGATACCGTACATGGACGTATGTTGTATAGTTCTTTTATTCATCTGAGCGAGGTTTGTGGCTCTGGTTTCTCCATTTTTGTACAGATCTGCAAGGATGAAATGCAGGCCGAGACGTGGCTTCTAGGATTGAAAGCTGTAATATCTAGAAGTCAGCATGGATTGGTGGACGATATGAAAAGCGAAAGAAAAACTCAAAGTTGCATCCGTAGTCCAGTAGGTTATATGCGGAGGAAACATAATCTTGGACTTTCTGTGAAGAAAACCAGATCTTCTCAGGTTCTTGTTGTCCTTCATTTTATTAAGTTCTCAGTGCTTTACCTTGTTATTAAGCAATACTTTGTTCTGTGCAATCTTCTACTATTTTGATATTAACTATTTGTACAGGTTAGCAGCTTATCAGGGAGTCCCACTCAATCATTTTCAGAGAACTATTCGTCTGATGGGTTATCATGGTCCTCCCACATCTTTTTGCCATCAAGTCTATCAAGTGTGCACAATGAAATGGATAATGTTATCACAAATTCATTGTCTTTGGAATCAGACTATCTAAGCCAGAAAAGAGCATCTTGTAATGGCACTGATATCCACAATGATATGCTTACTCCATCGGTTCCATCCACTCATGAGTCAAGACTACTAGGAAAACATGTTTTAAGGGATGTTTTTATTTGGGGAGAAGAAGCCGAAGGAGGATGCTTGGGGGATGGTGAGGTAAAGTCGGATGCTTTATTACCCAAACTTCTTGAGTCCACTTTGATGCTTGATGTACAAACAATATCAATAGGGAGGAGTCATGCTGCCGTAGTCACCAAACAAGGTGAAGTGTTTTGCTGGGGTGAAGGAAAGAATGGAAGACTTGGACATAAACTTGATATGGACACTGCATGCCCAAAAATCGTCGACTCCCTTAACGGAGTTCACGTAAAATCTGTCAGTTGCGGTGAATACCATACATGTGCCTTGACAACATCTGGTCAACTCTATACATGGGGTGACAATTTTATTGCTGATTTAGTTGGTGCAGAAAAGATGAAGAGGAGCTATTGGCTTCCAAACAGAGTTTGTGGTTCTTTGGATGGTGTGAAAATATCTTACGTTGCTTGTGGGGAATGGCACACAGGAATCGTGTCAACATCTGGACAATTGTTTACTTATGGAGATGGAACTTTTGGTGTTCTTGGTCATGGGAATCTCCAAANTAGTGCTGATTTAGTTGGTGCAGAAAAGATGAAGAGGAGCTATTGGCTTCCAAACAGAGTTTGTGGTTCTTTGGATGGTGTGAAAATATCTTACATTGCTTGTGGGGAATGGCACACAGGAATCGTGTCAACATCTGGACAATTGTTTACTTATGGAGATGGAACTTTTGGTGTTCTTGGTCATGGGAATCTCCAAAGCGTGGCTCGCCCAAAAGAAGTTGAGTCCCTTAGAGGTCTGTGGGTGAAATCAGTTGCATGTGGACCATGGCATACATCTGCAGTAGTGGAAATCTCTGTTCATTACCTTAAATTCAATAATTCAGGCGGGAAGCTTTTTACATGGGGTGATGGGGATAAAGGAAGACTTGGTCACTCTGAAGATAAGAGAAAGCTTTTACCAACATGTGTAGCTAAACTTGTGGATCATGATTTCATTCAAGTTGCCTGTGCAAACACCTTAACCATTGGGTTGTCTACCGAAGGAAAGGTTTACACAATGGGAAGTTCGGTGCACGGGCAGCTGGGTAATCCAAAAGCCAAAGATAAATCAGTAGTGATGGTGCAAGGGAAACTTAAAGACGAGATTGTTATAGAGATCTCCTCGGGATCATATCATGTTGCTGTGCTTGCATCTAAGGGAAATGTCTACACATGGGGTAAAGGTTCAAACGGACAGTTGGGATTAGGTGATACGGAAGATAGAAACTGCCCGACTTTAGTTGAGGCTCTAAGAGACAGGCAAGTGGAACATATTGCTTGTGGATCAAATTCTACAGCAGCGATATGTTTGCATAAATCTATATCAAGTAGTGATCAATCAGTTTGCAGAGGATGTGGCACCACTTTTGGGATTACAAGGAAGAAGCAAAATTGTTATAATTGTGGTCTTTTATTTTGTCGTGCATGCTGCAGCAAGAAAACCACAAATGCATCTTTGGCACCAGACAAAATTAAAGCTTCTCGTGTATGTGGTCCATGTTTCTGCCAACTGCAAAGGGTAAACAGACCACCCAATACGCCAAAGCATAGCCCGAGATCGCTATTGATAAATCAGAAGGCATCCATTAATGTCAAGGAAGAGGTGGAAGAGTCAAATAGTATATCCAGACGAATGATGTCAACCAGAAAATATTTTAGCGAGAACAGTCAATGCTGTGACCGGAGGGCTGTAAACAATCTAGGGGAAAGTACACAGTGCCTAGATCCCATTGAATCTTTGTTGGATTGTTTTCCAAGATGGGGACCAATTCCTTGTTCTGAAATCTTTAGAAGAGGAAGTGGACACACGAGAACTCAAAATCTTCGTGTGAGAAATTCACGGGTTTCAGCTTCCCCAAGTCATTCGAAGGTTCCTCCAGAACCAAAAGTTGTGTGTTCAACTGCGCTAACTATGGAGGAAAAAATGTCAGAATCAGATAATTTGCTTCTTGAAGAACTTTCCAAGATAAGAACTCATGTACATTTCCTAATATCTGGTTTTCTTTAATCATAATTCTACTGCTTATACCTCCCTAAGGCTACCTTAATTGATAATACTTCAATGTCTTGTTTATGAGTTTGCCTGTGCCAATTGTGTATTTGCCTAGAAACAATTCAACACGTTGCAAATAAAAAGTGACCATTACTTGAGGTCAGTGTAAGACTTTAAAACTTTGACAACTCAATGCCGTGTGACACCATGTAGCCATGGGTGTTGTTCGATTTTAAGATGTTGAAATGATCTGTCTTGAAAGGTGATACGATAGATAACATATTTATTCCGCGTCATTTGCGAGATAAACAAACATCCAAGGTCTTAAGCTGACCAAAAGTTGTGGCAATGTATGCTATGCCTGCTTTGCTGATTTCCTTGATCGTTAGTTTGTAACACTTGGCCAAATATCTCCTTCTCTGTAATCCTCTCCACTATAAAGAAAAAGGAGGAAGAATTACATAGCCTTACAAGTTACAACTCCAGATTCTTATATCACTGAGAATTGGCTGTTTAGTCTATTAAACTCCTGTAACATATCATTAGTTGTATTGGGTCTCTAAACTAAAAGCAGTATGGTTATAAAATAGCATTAGTTGTAAAAATGCAGAAACACAGCTAGAAATCTGATTGAGATGCTCCCCTTCTCGGAAGGGAGATCACTTTTTCAACAAGTTTATTTCCGCAAACGAAGTATTTCCTAAGGATGTCTTAATACGTATAATCTTGTTTCCTTTACCAGAGTTCATGACCGCGGAGAGAAAAATAGCCAACCACACTATAGTATGTACCTACTACATACTAGGCAAACATAATTAAGTGGACAACTACGTGAAACTGGAGGAGATTGAGAAAAGGTTACTAAGAAGGATACTATAATGTTGTATGCAAGATTGTATTTCATCTGATCCATTTTGGAATAGAACGTGGGGATATGCTACTAATAATTGATAGACTGATGCATACTGACAGGACTTTGTTCTTAGTATGTTATCCCTTCACATATATGTTCCATTTTCCCCCGTTCTTTAAAAGGAAAAAAAAAGGAGAAAAAGAAATACTCGTCAGTTTCAAGATTAGCTTTTGACACATGTAACACTCCCGTTTTATCCTTAATGTCAACATAATACTCTTTCGTAGATTCATCTAAATGTGTATCTTAGTATCAGCTCAGAATACAATGCCTTTAGCTTGTTTTGATTATTCCTGTTGCAGAAAATGTCAGCTCTTTAAGCTACAAGAGAAACTAACCATCAGGTTGTTGTCGATGTGGACAATAGCAAAGTTGATAGCCTATTGAATTCTCCGCTTGTATTTTCGAACAAGTTAAGATCTTTATATAACAAAAAACACTATGCTGATGAATGGGTGGAACAGTACCAGCCTGGGGTCGACGTCACATTGACAATATTGCCAAGTGGGAAAAAGGGACTCAAGCGAGTCAGGTTCAGGTAAATTTATATCCAATATTTAGAAACTTTTTTAGACATACATCATTCCGCTGCATACTTTACATTTCTAATGCTTACTTGGGTTGCATTATGCAGTAGGGAAAAGTTTACGACGAAGGAAGCAAAGAAGTGGTGGGAAGAGAACCAGCTATACGTCTACCAAAAATATGATGTTGAGGGATACAGGAATGACAAAGAATTAGAAGTTTCCTTTTTCTTCTAAATGTAAGTGTTAGCGGAAACGTAAAAGAAAGAACACAAGATTTAACGTGGTTCGGATCAAAATAATCCTACGTCCACCAGAGAAGAGTTGCCTTTTTAATATTAACAAAGGAAGGGGAGAGTTCCCAATTACACTTAAGAGAATTTCTCTCTTAACTCTCTACTCACTACAATGCGTTGTATTATTTTTGGGATGGTTTCTACAAATGAAGGAGTGCATCTATTTATAGAGGTAAAAACCTCCTCTTGATGTCATTGGTGACATCAAACTACCTCCTCTTGATGTCATGGGTGACATCAAAGGAGGAAGCTTCCTCCTAGCATCCACGCCAACTCTTTCCACCAACTCTTCCAATTGATATGTCATTGTTGACTAAACATAAACCAACACCTTCAATCTCCACCTTGGTTTGCGTTTCGAGCGTGCGTGTGAACAACTCTGGCCAAAACTTCTAAGCTTACTGGGCAACCCCGTTGTAAGAAACAAGAAGAATCAAACCATTGTTGAACATACCACCTCCACCTAACAACTGTTCTCTTCGGAGTTGCATCAGTTAATGCACACCCCCGCCAAGTCCTTGCAGTGTGCAAACTTAGCGAGTGGGACTATCTTGGTCAACATATCTTAAGCATTATCGTCTGTGATAACCTTTACGACCTTGATAGTTCCCTCTTCAACAACATCTCGAATAAAATGAAATCTGACATTAATGTGTTTAGTGCGCTCATGAAATCTCTGATTTTTCATTAGATGAATAACACTCTCACTATCACATCTAAGAGTTGATTTCAGCTGAACCAAACTCAATTCCGCTACTAAACCTTTTAACCAGATAACTTCCTTCACCGCCTCCGCTGCTGCCATGTATTCTGCTTCTGTCGTAGACAAAGCGGCAATCGACTGCAGATTCGACTTCCAACTAACGGCATTGCCAACGAGGGTAAAGATGTATCCAGTTGTGGACCTTCTTCAGTCAAGATATCTTGCATAGTCAGAATCTACATAACCGAGAATTGAAATACCTCCACCACTTTTTCGTAAGGTTAGACCAACACCAGAAGCTCCTTTGAGATATCTCAATATCCACTTGACAGCTTCCCAATGCCTCTTTCCTGGGCTGGACATGTATCTACTTACCACACTTACAGATTGAGCAATATCTGGACGTGTGCATACCATAGCATACATAATGCTACCAACTGCACTGGCATAAGGAATCTTTGACATATGCTCCACCTCATCCTCGGACTGAGGCATTTGTAACTCTGAAAGTTTAAAATGAGGAGCTAATGGTGTACTTACAGGCTTGCACGTATGCATATTGAATCTCTTGAGAACCCTTTCAATATACCTCTTCTGAGAAAGATGTACAACACCGTCTTCTCTTGAAATCTCCATACCAAGGATTTTCTTTGCAGCTCCTAAATCCTTCATGTCAAATTCCTTACTCAACAGTTTCTTCAAAGCATTTATCTCTGTAATGTTGTTAGCAGCAATAAGCATATCATCAACATACAACAGTAAATAAATCATTGAGTTACCAGACATCTTCTTGTGATACACACAGCTATCAAATGCACTCCTTGAGAATTCATGTGTAGTCATGAATGCATCAAACCTCTTGTATCACTGTCTAGGGGATTGCTTCAAACCATACACAGACTTCTTTAGTTGGCATACGTGATCTTTTTTTCCCTCAGCTAGGAAACCTTCAGGCTAATCCATATAGATTGTCTCTTCTAGATCACCGTGTAAGAAAGTAGTTTTGACATCAAGCCGTTGAAGCTCCAAGTCAAATTGGGCAACCAATGCTAGTAGCACGCGAATTGAGCTATGCTTCACGACTAGAGAGAAAATCTCATTGTAGTCAATTCCCTCCTTCTGACTGAATCCTTTTGCAACCAATCTCGCCTTGAACCTAGCATCTTCCACTTCAGGAATTCCCTCTTTCTTTCGGTAGACCCACTTGCATCCAACTATCCTCTTCCCCTTTTGTCTTTTCACTAAGATCCATGTCTGATTCTTGTGAAAAGACTCCATCTCTTCAGTCATGGCTAACCGCCATTGTACAACATCCTTGCAAGAAGTTGCTTCAATAGACGAGGAGGGCTCCAGATCCTTAATCTCTTCTTGTGCAGCTACGAACGCATATGCAATCAAGTTTGTTTGATCTATAAGGCGTTCTGGTTCTTGTGTATGCCTCCTCTCCCTCCCCTTTGCAATTGTGTATGGTTCATTGACAACAAGGTCTACGTCTTCTGACTCATCTTTAACCTGAGTCTCTTGATCCTTTTCTTTGGCAAGCTCCACCAGAAGCTCCACCTGCTCGTCGTTGTTGTTTCCTGAAAACTCCACGGAAACTTTACGGGGATCAAGTATAGAGGATTCATCGAAGGTGACATCTCTACTAACTATAAATTTGAGTAAAGACAAACACCAAAGTTTGTACCCTTTTACTCCATCCACATACCCTACGAATATGGCCTTCTTAGCCCTTGGTTCAAGCTTTCCTTCATTAACGTGATAATAAGCTGGACACCCAAATACTCGTAAGTATGAATAGTTAGAGGGTTCACCTGACCATACCTCATTCGGAGTCTTAAAGTCAATTGCCGATGCTAGAGATCAATTGACAATATGAGCAGTAGTGTGAACTGCTTCAGCCCAAAATACTTTGGACATTTTGGCTTGTAAGAGCATACAACGAGCATTTANACGTCATATGCAGAGTGCAAGTAGAGTCTAACACCCATTTGTTTCCATAACTACTATGATTATTGCCCAAGATTTTTGTTGCGTATAGCTCAAATTAGTAAACACTCAACTGGCTGACTGTAAAAATCTTCAACTCATGATTTCAAGATTAGCTTTTGACACATGTAACACTCCCGTTTTATCCTTAATGTCAACATAATACTCTTTCGTAGATTCATCTAAATGTGTATCTTAGTATCAGCTCAGAATACAATGCCTTTAGCTTGTTTTGATTATTCCTGTTGCAGAAAATGTCAGCTCTTTAAGCTACAAGAGAAACTAACCATCAGGTTGTTGTCGATGTGGACAATAGCAAAGTTGATAGCCTATTGAATTCTCCGCTTGTATTTTCGAACAAGTTAAGATCTTTATATAACAAAAAACACTATGCTGATGAATGTGTGGAACAGTACCAGCCTGGGGTCGACGTCACATTGACAATATTGCCAAGTGGGAAAAAGGGACTCAAGCGAGTCAGGTTCAGGTAAATTTATATCCAATATTTAGAAACTTTTTTAGACATACATCATTCCGCTGCATACTTTACATTTCTAATGCTTACTTGGGTTGCATTATGCAGTAGGGAAAAGTTTACGACGAAGGAAGCAAAGAAGTGGTGGGAAGAGAACCAGCTATACGTCTACCAAAAATATGATGTTGAGGGATACAGGAATGACAAAGAATTAGAAGTTTCCTTTTTCTTCTAAATGTAAGTGTTAGCGGAAACGTAAAAGAAAGAACACAAGATTTAACGTGGTTCGGATCAAAATAATCCTACGTCCACCAGAGAAGAGTTGCCTTTTTAATATTAACAAAGGAAGGGGAGAGTTCCCAATTACACTTAAGAGAATTTCTCTCTTAACTCTCTACTCACTACAATGCGTTGTATTATTTTTGGGATGGTTTCTACAAATGAAGGAGTGCATCTATTTATAGAGGTAAAAACCTCCTCTTGATGTCATTGGTGACATCAAACTACCTCCTCTTGATGTCATGGGTGACATCAAAGGAGGAAGCTTCCTCCTAGCATCCACACCAACTCTTTCCACCAACTCTTCCAATTGATATGTCATTGTTGACTAAACATAAACCAACACCTTCAATCTCCACCTTGGTTTGCGTTTCGAGCGTGCGTGTGAACAACTCTGGCCAAAACTTCTAAGCTTACTGGGCAACCCCGTTGTAAGAAACAAGAAGAATCAAACCATTGTTGAACATACCACCTCCACCTAACAACTGTTCTCTTCGGAGTTGCATCAGTTGATGCACACCCCCGCCAAGTCCTTGCAGTGTGCAAACTTAGCGAGTGGGACTATCTTGGTCAACATATCTGCAACATTATCGTCTGTGATAACCTTCACGACCTTGATAGTTCCCTCTTCAACAACATCTCGAATAAAATGAAATCTGACATTAATGTGTTTAGTGCGCTCATGAAATCTCTGATTTTTCATTAGATGAATAGCACTCTGACTATCACATCTAAGAGTTGATTCCAGCTGAACCAAACTCAATTCCGCTACTAAACCTTTCAACCAGATAGCTTCCTTCACCGCCTCCGCTGCTGCCATGTATTCTGCTTCTGTCGTAGACAAAGCGGCAATCGACTGCAGAGTCGACTTCCAACTAACGGCACTGCCAACGAGGGTAAAGATGTATCCAGTTGTGGACCTTCTTCTGTCAAGATCTCCTGCATAGTCAGAATCTACATAACCGAGAATTGAAATACCTCCACCACTTTTTCGAAAGGTCAGACCAACACCAGAAGCTCCTTTGAGATATCTCAATATCCACTTGACAGCTTCCCAATGCCTCTTTCCTGGGCTGGACATGTATCTACTTACCACACTTACAGATTGAGCAATATCTGGACGTGTGCATACCATAGCATACATAATGCTACCAACTGCACTGGCATAAGGAATCTTTGACATATGCTCCACCTCATCCTCGGACTGAGGCATTTGTAACTCTGAAAGTTTAAAATGAGGAGCTAATGGTGTACTTACAGGCTTGCACGTATGCATATTGAATCTCTTGAGAACCCTTTCAATATACCTCTTCTGAGAAAGATGTACAACACCGTCTTCTCTTGAAATCTCCATACCAAGGATTTTCTTTGCAGCTCCTAAATCCTTCATGTCAAATTCCTTACTCAACAGTTTCTTCAAAGCATTTATCTCTGTAATGTTGTTAGCAGCAATAAGCATATCATCAACATACAACAGTAAATAAATCATTGAGTT